AAGAGGAGGTCGGGGCTGAGGAAGTCGGGATTTGGCGTCGGCTGGAGATCGGAGGGAGGTCGGACGGGATGGAGATTGGAAGCAGAGGGCTCGGATGGCTGCAGGTATGAGGAAGGAAATCTCTCTCTCTCTCTGCTTGCGTGAAACGTCGGCACAGGCAAGTGCTCGACGGGGTTGGGGATTGAAGGGAGCAGAGGTGGAGTTCGGAGAAGCGTCGGGTTGGAAGAGCAGCCGAATGGAGGTGTCTTCCCTTTCGTTTTATAGATGCGAAAGAGGTGAGGAACGAGGCCGTCGTCGTAGGATTCGCGTAGGATTCCCGTAACGGCGCCGGATTCAGCAGGATTTTAGCTGATTTTGGGAGAAAAATCGGGAAGGATTTCGGGATTCAACGGATACAAGGTATGTATGCGAGATTTCTTTTTTTTTTTTCTTCTTTTCTCTTTGGTTCCTTTGGGTATGACATGAGGGTCAACAAATGCCCCCCAACAAATGTGGTACGTGTCTAGAGCGAATCACGTTTGTTGTATGTTGATTGACCCTGTGGATCTCTAGATATTTGTTCTAGATGTCACACTAGGGTTTCCATTTAGTGGATCTCTAAAAGTTCGTTGGGAAGTCACACTAAGATTTTCATTCCATAGACCTCTAATAGTCCATCTTTATGCCTTTGTAGATCCCGTAGATGCACTTGTAGTCAAGAAGCTGCTTCAGAATTTCTACAGTTACTTTTGGGCTCAGGTACGCTTTCTTCCCTTATTTTTTATTTAATTTTGATTTTGTGCTCGTACTGACACTGCTTTGTATTTTGTGCAGGCTACTACAAGAAGAGGATCCGAGCTTTAGCCAGTTTACTGCCTCAGGAGACTTTAGTTTTGGTACGTTTTTACTTTGTTTGTACTGTTCTTTTTTTTTAGCTGCTTTCTGCCACCCCTTTTTTGCTCTGCACAGGTTTTTGGAGAGGAGCGGGATACTTGTTCGCTAGCCACCTCAGGAGACTTCTGTTTCAGGTACAACATTTTTTTATAGTCTCTTATATATGTTCTTTATGATTCTTTTTCATTCTACTGACTTCTCTTTTGCTTTGTGCAGGTCCTAGAAGTGCAGAATATCTGATCTTCGGAAGGAGGAGAATAAGGCTGTGGACTTCCTCTTCAGGCGTAGTTTAGGAGATAGATTTTAGTCCTCTGTGAAGGACATTGTACTTTTTCTTTTTTTTCAGCTGATGTAATCTTGTAAAAAGATGATATTTGTAAACTTGTATATAAATTTTGAATGAATAAAATAAAGTAATTTTATAAATCCAGTCATTGACGATCTCTCTTTTTACTGCTCTTGAGACTTCTGTAGTTGTA